CTCAGGTCCTATAGCTGAAAATGTGGGATCCAGTGCCTTAACCACAATGCCTCCTACTGGCCCCTGTTACTTCTATTTCATATCCATAAATTCCCAAGTTTGTGAGTGGGTACATGATAAAGAAAGAAACAGTTTAGGGTCTGGCAGATGGAGGTTGTTAGGGGCACTGGACCGATACGTAGTCGACCGCAGGTCAAGTCCTGGGCCTGGCGGCTGGCTTTCTCGCTTTCCCGCTTTCTCTCTCTCTGTCCCTCTCTGGTCTGATTAAAAACTAAGTAAATAAATAAATAGAGTTAATAAAATAATTCTTTTAAAAAGTTTAAATTATTAATTTTTAATTTAACTAGTAAAACATATCTCAGTGGTTATTTTTTATTATAATTTTTTTTAGCCATAGGACGTATATGCTCACCAGAGAGAGAGTAAGTGAAAAATCATCCCCTACGGGGAGATGGTCATGTCACAATCCCTTCTCTGTTTTCCTCCTGTCTGGGATTTGGGCCACACACACATACATGTGATTTTCAAACCATGAGGTACACGACTCAAACTGCCTAAGTTTTAAGGCACTGGGTCTGGAACTTGAACTGTGCTCAGCCATATGGAAGTTCAGTGCCTGAACCACCATTTCACTTGTTGGGCCCCAAAACATACAATCTTTAGTGACATATGACCATAAAATTAATTTATCTTTAACTAGGCAAGTGCTAATCCAGATCATTAATGAGTAAATTAATTGAGGTCTATACCAGAAAAACCATTGTCCCGTTAGTGGAATCACAAGAGAAATCACTCCCAGGGAACCAGCAGTTAGCGTAATGGCTATGTCGCTGGACTCCCACGGAGTCGACCGCGATTCGTGTCCCGGACCTGGTGGCTTAAACCTCATGCAGGGCGCGTGTGCATGCGTGCCCAAGATCCCGAAAGGAGAATGGAGGAGAAGGGATTGCAGTGTGACCATCCTCTCTGGGGGGTGATTTCTCGCTTTCTGTCTCTATGTCTCTCTCTGACCATCTGGCGAGTGCATCACCCACTAGAAAAAAACTCTCCAAAAAAAAAAAAAAAAAGAGAGAGAGAAATCACCCCCAGTGAGGGTGCGTCCCATCACAATCCTTTCTCCTCCACTTCATCCTGGCAGAACCCTAGGTACATGAATGTGTCTCAGCATGTCTTTCTTTTTTCTTAAGAATTGTTTACTATTTTTTTTTTAATTTACTATGGGGTATACATGCCCACCAGAGAGAGAGAGAAAGTGAGAAAGGAAGCTACCAGGTCCGGGACTGGAACTGCAGTCGAACATGTGGGAGTCCAGCATCCTAACCACCATGCTACCTGCTGCCAAACCCCAGCTTGTTTTTCAAGCTACTGGGCCAGGAATCAAACCTGGTCGGCCACGTGGGATCTGGCTTCCTTTGCACAATGCTAAACCACTATACTATGGAGCTGGCCTACGTTTTTACAAGTTTTATGAACACATAATATTGCTATAGGGAGTGTGCGCTTGCCAGAGAGACAGCGAGAGACAGAGAGACAGAAAGCGAGAAATCACCCCCCAGGGAGGATGGCCACGCCGCAATCCTTTCTCCTCTATTCTCCTCTCGGGCTCCTGGGCACACCCACACACACGCACCCAACGTGAGTTTAAGCCACCAGGTCCGGGATGCGAACTGCGGTCAACTATATGGGAGTCCAGTGACATAGCCATTACGCTAACTGCTGGTCCCATGAACACATAATATTGTAAAACAGAAAATGAAACATTTTTTTTTCCTTTTAGCTTGCTATAAGGTACATGTGCTCACTGGAGAGAAACAGAAAAAGAGATATATAGAAAGAGGGACGGTCAGAAATAACCTCCCAGGAGGGTGGCCATGACACAGTCCCCTCTCCTCCGTTCTTCTCTTGGGATTCTAGACGTGCACTTTCAAGCCACTGGGTCTGGAACGTGAACTGCTCAGCTGGTCACATGTGCTCCAGTCACCTTAATCTCTAGCCACCTGCTGGCCCCAAAGACTTTTATTTTACCTTGAAAAATTCCAGTTTTGATATGAGAACAGATTACATGTGAATATGTAGGTATTAAAAAACAGGGTCCCAGGCCAGCAGGTGGCATGGTGTTTAAGGCACTGGACTCCCACATGGCTGACAACGGTTCAAGTCAAGACCTGGCAGCTTGCTTTCTCACTTTCCCTTTCTCTTTCTCTCTGTCTCTCTCTGGTCGAATTGGATAAAAAGATAATAACAGATAAAATTGAGAGTAGAAATCTGACTACTTTTTTCTGTTCCCAAAATCCCTTCCAGAGGGCCTGGGGTGTGTCATGCACACAGACATTAACAGGCCATTCTGGTCCATTCAATAACAGAAAGCTTCCTACATCCTGTCCCTGGCATAGTATCCCTGTGATGGGTGAGAGTCACGCCCAGAATCACTAATAGATCATTCTGACTCATTGATAGCAGGACTCCTTCAACATTCTGCCCTTGGGACAGTATCTTATAACTGTATACAAGCCCCCTTATCTCTGTTACTAATCCCTTCAAGCCCCCCTTCCACATGTCCCGCCATTTTGGGCCAGACCATGGAAATTCTAAGCCCTGTCTCTCACTCTCAAATTCAAATAAAAGAAATCCCTGTACCTGATCACCCCAAGAGAGGGGCCTGTTTTGCCTCTCCAACCTAGGTCTCACAAATTCATGCTTAGAAATAAACCACATTGGCAGGAACCATCAGTTAGTGTAATGGCTATGTCGCTGGACTCCCACGTAGTCGACCGCAGTTCGCGTCCTGGACCTGGTTCTTAAAACCCACGCCAGGCACGTGTGCGTGCGTGCCAAAGATCCCAAGAGGAGAATGGAGGAGAAGGGATTGTGGCGTGGCAATCCCCTCTGGGGGGTGATTTCTTGCTTTCTGTCTCTATGTCTCTCTCTGCCTGTCTGGCGAGCGCACACACCCTATAGTGAAAAACCTCTCAAAAAAAA